GTCGGAACATGTGACATCCTCGACATTCTGGTGAAAGATAGACCCTGCATAGACCCTGTGTCTATGATCGCCCCTAGGTGTAGAAGATGGGTTGAGGGTTCCGTCTGGCTCTTTTGGAAGTTCATTGAGAACCCGTGGTCTTGGAGTGTCCTGATTGACAAGGCCAGGTCTGAACGCGCCCTCTGTAAGGATGTGGACTGGATGAGGATATCGTCCAGGTAGCATTGAATCCTTATTGGAACCAGTCTTAAGTGGGCGGTCAGGACTGCCAATATCTTTGTGAACACCCTTGGGGCAGAGGCGAGGCCAAATGGCAAGGTCCTGTATTGGTAATGATGGTTCGCGTAGCAGAACCTGAGGAATCTTCGATGGCTGGGGAGTATGGGGATATGAAGGTAAGCCTCCGTGAGGTCGATAGATGTCAGGAGATCATCCTTTATGATGCTGGCCAGAATGGATTTGAGTGTTTGCATCTTGAACCTCTTGTAGACCAGATGTGAGTTTAGTCCTTTCAGGTCTAGGATGGCTCTCCATCCTCCCGAAGCTTTTGGGACCACGAAGAGGATGGAATAGAACCCCCTTCCTTGTTGCCCCTCCGGGACTGGTTCTATGGCTCAGAAGATGATGGATGGCCTCGCTCATGAAGCCTATCCTGGTGGGGTTTCTGGGAACTGGGCAAGAAATAAACCGTTCTGCGGGATAGGAAGCAAACTCAAGGGAAAGACCATACCTGATTGTATTGACCACCCATGTGTCTGTGGTGGTGGCCTCCCATTCGCGAGTGAATAGGGAGAGTTTGCCTCCTAAGGGGAGGGCCACCCTGGAGTCACTTGTTTCTTCAGAAGGGGCAGCCACCCCTGCCTCGAAAAGGCCGCTTGGCCTGGAATTGTTGTTGCGACCTCGGTACGGGGCGCTCGGCCAGGCGGTTGGAGCTTGAGTGGAAAGGGTGGTTATTTGGGATCCACTCCGATTCAGAGTCTGATCTAAAAGGCGTCTTACGCAGGTATGGGTTGGCCTGCCTGTCTGCCCTTCTATTGAGGTGGCCAGTACTTTGCGCTTGTCCGTTTTCAACTAAGGGTTGAGCGCCTCTCCAAACAGCTTTCTGCCGGTATAGTGGGCGGAAGGCAGGTGCCACTTTGACTTTAGGTCCGCTTGCCAGTGTTTGAGCCATAGAAGCCTGACATCCAGAAGCCGTGACATTGGAGACTATTGCTCAGGAGGAGAATCTTGCAGCATGTAGTGATGCGTCCACCATGTATTCAGATGTGGCCACTAACTTATCCAGATTCTGATGAGCACAAACCTGGTCTGGGGGAATCAAGGCCTGGAATTCATGAAGCCATATGATGGAAATTCTGGCAAAGAAGGAGGTGGAGGTGGATGCCTTGACCAACCATGCTGCTGCTTGATGAGACCTGCGTAAGGAAAACTCAGATTTCCTGTCCTCAGCCATGTCTCCTGACACCGTGGAAGAAGAAAGAATTGGAGTTAGAGAATTTTAAACGGACGGGACCTCCAGGAGTTCTGATAATGCTGGAGCGACATTGAACAACCTCTTGTCCGTCCCCCCCATAGATGGAAAGGTGCCCAGGGTCCCCCATTGCTTCTGGATGGTATTTAGGAAGAATGGGAGACAAGGAATATGTCTTTCCGTGACCGTCGGCTCACAGAAAAAAGGCTTTGAGCTCTGACTGGGAGAAGGCACCTGTTGAGGTTCTGGATTGGGGGAAATTTTGGCCGCAGTGATTGCCTTCAGGAGAAGTGATTTGAACAGGGCCAGGTCGAAAAGACCCATGAAAGGTGAGGGATCTGAGATGGTCTCCTCATCCTCTGATAAAAGAATGTCCATTGACCTGCTCTCCTCTGAGCTAGAATCTCCCTCCTGTGAGGAGTGATCGGAAGAGATAGATTCAGGGTACCCCGGGGTCTCAGCCTGGTAATGTTGAGGGGCCCTAGTAGAGGAAAACTCTGGTCTGGCTCCCTGGCTGAGTGAAGACGCCATTCCCTGGGCGAACGCTTGAGCCAGTAACACCTGCAACTGTTCTGGCCGTATCCCCTGGGGCTCAGCGGCACAGGGGCTGGCCGTTATGACTGTGCGTGTGGCCTTTGGTGTCATGTGAGACCTGGGCGAAGGGGCCACCCTTTGGGGTCTTTCCACCTGAGAGGCGGTCCTTCACCCTGTCTATCCTCGCCTGCCGGGGACCAAGCCTGTTGAGCTGGTGATCCAGATGGGGCTTGTTGTGGGTTGAATAGTGAGCCATCATGTGGGACCAGGGCGACCTGGGCTGTTTCACTGGTGTCCAGTTGTTGGACCTTGGAGAATTGCTTCTCCAATGCCAGATGTATCCTGCTGGCTTCCTTCTCTGCTGCCTTAGAAGGCTTCTTGCCAGGAACAGCCTTGGCTTTGGTCTTAAGCTTCCCTGCAGCCTTCAATTTGGAGGACTTGCTGTTCCGTGGCACCGGGGTGCAGGGTGCCTGCTGTGCAGCCTGAGGTACCGCATTGTCTGCCATCATTCCTGAGGACTGGGAGCTGAGTGCTGGGTATGGTCTTGATCCCAGGTACTGGCTGGGCCAGTATTGCTCTACACAATGGTGGACACTGGACCAGTGGGCCTCTCTCACACCAATTGCTCCTGATGGCTTTATAAGTTGCCTGAGGGCGCACTGATAGCGCGGTGATCAGGCGGATGGGGCGGCCAAAACCACAAATTTGGCGAGCACCGACATCTCGTCTCTGTTATTGGCAGCGGATTATCTAACTTGTTTGCCTGATTAACTTTTAATTAATTAATTAATTCAGTAATTAACTTATTTAAAATTGATTACATTGATTATTGCTGAATTAGCTAATTTAATTTAATTAATTTTTAAGGGCCAATCATCTGATTATGATTAGAATTAGAATAAATTGCTCAATGATTTCTCCTTAATCAATTGATGGTGCTGGATGTTTAAATTGATTCAATTTAGGAGAACACTGCCTCTGTGCGGGGCTGGGCGATCAGCTGGCTTCCAGCTGAGGCGGGAGATTTGAAAAGGGATGAGTCTGTGTTGCTGTGTGTTTAATATGGCGGCCACAGGCTGACCCCAAACAAAGGATGCCTTATGTCCGAGGCTCAGCTGGAGAGCCTCCGGACTGGTTTCCTACTGTTGATCTGCTTATCAGCTGGTGCTCACCTAAGGCGGTAGTTTTAAACTCGCCCTGCTGCACCGGCCGCGTGGTCCAAAATGGCAACCATGTGTCGAAACTGGGAGCGCAGAGGAATCCCTGGGTCCGCGGCTCGGCTGGGGAGCCTCATCTGTTCTCCTCCTGCTCTCCTACATGCGCTGGTTACGAGACTAAACGCTCAAAATTTTTGAGAGGCTGAGACGGTGCCGGCTATAAGGCTGAACGCCCGAAAATCTTGGGAGGCTGCGAACGGTGCCAGGATGAACTAGCAAGGCAGCCTTTGACTGGTGCTCCGCCAGCCAACTCTCAGCTGATCTGCGGCCGGCATTTGTTTGGCTGTTTCTCAGCTGAATTGCAGAGGGCTCTTGGTTCCCTCCTGGAACGCTGAGCCCAGCTTGGGAAGTTCTGTAACTAGCTGGAATTTATTTTGAAATCTAGATCTAATTAGCTGGGATTTATTTTAATCTGGATAAGGGATCTAATTGGTGGGCAATTGAATCAGCGCTGATCCCAGCGCTGAAAATAAGATGAATAATCTACGAAGGGGAAAGAAGGAAAATTATACAACCTGCCCAGAAGTCTGATAAAGGAGCCAACACCATCATGTCCTGATGGGCTGAAGACTAAGTCATGTCTGGGAAATAGAGGGCACATCAGGAGGCGTGGCTATTTTGTCAGACTTAGTCTAATTGGGCAGGAAGACAGTCAAAACCCATTTGTGGAGTCTCCATCCTCATGCTGGAAAAAAGACAGTTTCCAAGTTTGAAAAGGGTACTGCGAAAGACAACTGCAAAGCAAGTGTTGCACTGAACTAAGCCAGACATTCTTAGATACAGGGAATCTCAGATGCACTTGCCCTGAATATACTGCTGCTGTTTTTTATTTTTAGTTATATAATAATGGCGCACGGGCTGCTACTTTCCTGGTGGAGTCTCCCAAGACTTACAATTCTAGCAGCAGCTGAATGCAGTATAGCACATCCCAGCAGCTCTGATTAGGCCCTGAGCCACATAGAACTTTAAAAGTGACAATCAGCACCTTGAATTGCACTAGAAGTTAACTGAGAGTTAGTACAACTTTCAAAATAGTGGTATGAAAAATACAGTGAGGTGATTTGCTCATTTAAAGAAAATGAGTCAAGGATGTATACAAAGCAAGAGTGAATCGGTCAAGAAAGGGAAGACCAAGAAATTTATGACTGGGTAAAGTTAATAAGATCTTCTATAAACAAAAGTTTAAAGATGAAATAATATGTATAAAGTGTAGCACGGGTATAGTGGAAGCCAATAGCCTTCACAAAGTTAGAAAGCTATGGAAAAAGTATAGTGGTTTTTTTTTCATAAATTCCTTTTTAGCTATATTTATTATTATTTCATTCTTTTAATTCTTTGACTTGAGCTTTTTTATTTCTGCATAACATTGCATATTCCAAAGAGAAATTTTGTGATGGAGATGGAGAGATACACACACACACACACACACACACACACACACACAGAGAGAGAGAGAGAGAGAGAGAGACATACACACATACACATACGCTTAAAAGTGATCAGTTAATACATATATTCCTTCAAAAGTTGTCAATTGGTATATTCCTAAAAAGAAAAATCATGGGTATATTTAGTATCCAATTTTGTATCTGTTGTTTTTTTTTAAATCAAATAACCTTTCTTTTGAAATCCCCATCTTTCTTCTTCTGATAATATATTTTAAAGGTTATAAAAATGCTTTTTTTGTCTGACCATTCCATCTAAATGGAAACTGAAGTACAACATCCTTCTAACCCACTGAAAGTTTATTTAAGGTTTTTTAAATTTTGTTCTTACAGGGTCTTCGGAAGCCTACAGTTGAGGAGATAATTCATGCCAAGAATGCTATTGTGACACCTTCATTGTTTGGCAGCTCACTTGAAGAAATCATGTCAAGGCAGCAGGACATGTATCCAGATAACAAGCTGCCCTGGGTACAAACACAGCTGTCTCAGCAAGTACTGCGACTCGGGGGAGAACAGACTGAGGGAATATTTAGGTGAATGTCTAACTCAGCTGTTTAAATGATGCACTAGTGACAGCCAGCAACACTAGATCATTCATCTATATTTGATCACATATCATATTTCTTCTTCTTGAGAGTAGGTGTCTAAAATTTCATTAGAGTTTTAGAATAATATATACTTATAGGAAATGCAAGCATCATACAAGCTTCTTCTTCCAAACAAGTGCGTTTATACTAGTACTTGGGAGGGAGGGAAGGAGGGAGGGAAGGAAGGAAGGAAGGAAGGAAGGAAGGAAGGAAGGAAGGAAGGAAGGAAGGAAGGAAGGAAGGTTTCCAATGCTCCTTGTCAGACTACAAGGAAGCTGGCAGGAAATTGGAAATCACTCAAGATACATTTTAGGCTGCTATTAGTCATTCAGTTTCTCTGTTTAGGTAAGAAAATATCTGTGAAACAATGACCCAACAGATCATGGGTTGTCTACTTATTATTAAATATGTATCTACCTCTTAGAATTGCTGCAGATATTTTTTATTTGTGATACTAATCGCACTTTCTTCTGTGTGTGTATGATTTTCTGCCTCTGAAATTCAGCTTCATTGTTGTCTGTCTATGCTTTCAGAATTCCTGGTGATATTGATGAAGTCAATGCTCTAAAGTTACAGGTGGATCAGTGGAAGATTCCTAACAACCTTAGTGACCCCAATATACCAGGTATGGAGAAATAAGAGAACAGCAAAACTATTGAAAATGTAGTTGGACATCTCAGTTTGGTTAATAGTTTTAAGTTGTAAATATATATCTCCTATATGTCTCCTGTCTATTTCAGTTTCTACAAAACTTTTAATAATTGCTTCCGAAGAGAATATTTGCTACCCTAAGCCTTTCTGTTCATGATTTGTGTCCTGTGATTGTCAAAAGCCTGAACCAGTGGAGCTCAGTATATGGTGCTGTTTTTCATTTTAGAAAGGATAGAGTCAGTTGTTTTATTTATCTAGAAAGAGGAGGAAAGTGCATTGTGATTACTCAGAGATCCACTTTGGAACAGTAAGCACCACATATTATTTATACATTTATGTACTTATTTTAGTGCTAGCACATCAAAGCAGTTTATATTAAATCACAAAAATATAATAACCACATTAGCAATTTCAAGATAGTATAAGCATGGTACACAAACACAGATACATAAAGTTGGTAAAACAGACAGCATGCTATAATTGTCTCTGGGTTGTTTCTTGTCCTTGAAGCTTCTTTGCTAAAGCTGTGGTACCGGGAACTGGAAGAGCCTGTCATCCCACAACAATTCTACAAGGAATGTGTCAGCAACTATGAGAATCCTGATGCTGCAGTGGCTGTAGTTGAACTTCTGCCAGAGCTCAATAAATTGGTCTTATGTTACCTCATCCACTTTTTACAGGTACATAGATATAGAATGTCTTAGCAGGAATCATTCTAAAAAAGCAGAATCTATATCAGTGGTTCTCAACTTTTTCAATGCCGCGACCCCCAACCAGTCGTAAGTCGAGGACTACTCAACCGGTCGTAAGTTGAGGACTACTCAACTGGTGCAGCACCATTTGCAGAATGGGACTTTTGGCGGGATCAGCAGGGCAGAGACAGCCTGGACAATTCCTATTGGCTTTCGAAAGCCAATAGAATTAGACTCTATTCAAGAGAGTCTATTCTATTGGCTTTCAAAAGCCAATAGAATAAAAGGGAGTAGCACAGCTAAAGAAAATAGGGAAAAAATGGCGGACTGCGTTGTTTGGCGATCCCCGTGAAATGGTCATTCAACCCCAAATGGGGTCCCGACCCACAGGTTGAAAACCACTGATCTATATGGTTGTTCTAGATGCATCATTTCACATTACATTTGCAGATTTTATGAAACACCAATCTAAATTTCTTCTATCATCAGCTTTCAGTGCAAGGCTATCTACAGTGATTCCATTGTCTCTCTGAACGTTTTCCTTTGAGGAGCTAGAGAAGCTAAGTCACCTTGCCTGTGATCAGACCTTTTATTTTTCTTCTTTATTTGAGCTGTGTTTCATTTATTTTGCAGATTTTTGCCCAGCCAATCAATGTAGGGAAAACCAAGATGGATGTAAACAACTTGGCTATGGTGATGGCTCCAAATTGTCTACGATGCCAGTCTGATGACCCCAGAATCATCTTTGAAAATACCCGCAAAGAGATGTCTTTCCTGCGCATGCTGATTGTGCACTTGGACACCAGTTTTATCAAAGGAGTTATGTGAAGGATTAGTTTCTGGCAAGACAGTGCAAAAAGAGCAATTAGTTGGCTCCAGCATTTCTTTTTTGGAGCCTCACATTGTTTCCTCTAGAGTTTCCATGATTCTACAGTGCTTTGTGATGCTTTTATTTACTTATGCTGATAGTAAGTTTGATGAATCTTCAACAATCCCCAAATGATTCAAATCAGAGACCATACTAGAAAGAGTTTTGAGAAACCAGAGAGCAATAATGTTAGATCATGCTCTGGGCCAATCCTAAGACCTGCATTAGTTGTTTCCAGCAGCTCTGTCTGTGTATGCAAAGCCCAAATGTTATATTGCTTGCACTTCACTGAGGAATCTTAATGAAATTAAAAGTGGAATTGTCTGTTGGAAGCAAATTGTTTGCAGATACTGGGTTTACTTCTGTCACCTGAAGATTCAATACTTCACTAGACATGTCTCATGTCTCAGGTAAGATTGTTACTTCAGGCTGCTAAAGTACATATTCTGCTTGGTTCTGCCATTCAGATCGCTGACTGCTTTCTTCTCAACAGCTTCTCTAGTATGTTTTCTGCTTTTCAAGGACAATTCTCTTGCAAAAAAGAAGTTTTGAAGCAGTACATAAGTTGTAGCTTGTGAAAAAGGATGACTCTTGCTATGCCTGAGGATATCTACTACTAAAATTCCAAGCATCAATACTGTGCAGAAATGAAATCTTGAATTGAATTTTGGTACATAACAAAACAGCAAGAAAGTGAAACTGTATATTTCCCTTGTTTTGCCTATAGTGATTTGGGAAGAGACTGTTTAAATCGTTAAGTCACTTTTAGCTTAAGTTTACTCCTATATTGTTTGGATTAGATGATTCAAACTCAAGAAATCCTTGAATTTCTTTAATTCAGAATCACCGCAATCAAAGTAACTTGTGGTTGGGATTTCTCCAGAATAGAGATTTATCCAGTAGGATAAGGTGCAGTGATTATGGCCTCTTCAGCATAAACTAAAATCAGGTACTGAGATGCTATAAAGCCTTTTAGAGGAAACATGAATAACTACTTAAAGGTTCCTGTCAATGTCAAGATTTTGTGTTCTATTTCCCATTCAGCCTAATCTAAACAGACAACTAGAAGCATCAATTATCTTTTAAAACATTGGATTAAAGGAAGCTGTAAGGTGGAGAGATTTAAGTGAATAAAAAGTGCAGGATTGGAGAAAATTAGCTGTTCTTCCCTTTATCACTTTCTAAATATCCCCAGTGTGCTGTTAGATGCAGAATGAAAAAGGGAAAGCCAAATTATATCTGTTTTGTTTTCTCTCTGACCAGTAGCAATTTCAAAAATATAATTTGAGTTGAGACTACAGTACATAAGAGGAAAATATATGTTACCCAGTTCTCCAGTCAAAATCTAATCCCTACTACCTCCCACAACTGCATATTAAATAAAAAAAATTGAGAGCTCCAAATACAAATTTCTCACATCATGCATTATAACAATTAAATGGTATAACGCTGTCTTACTCTGGATTTCATTCTATTCTTGCCTAAACATCTCAGAAAGACTGCTGTTCTCTTTGTTCTTTCAGTCCCTGGAACACATGATGAATAGGAGGAGGACTGGTGCTTCAGTTCTGCTTCTTTGTTTTGTTCTTATACTGCAAACACATCCCAGAATCCAAAGCCTTCAGTGTTCCTTTATGTCATTTTGGAAGTGAGCGTAATTCTTTCATCAATCTTCTGGACAGAATAACAGACTTGAATTTTTTGGAAAGAAAGTGGGAATGGTCAAGGAAATAATGTTATGGAAAAACAAAAATCAACTTTGTTAATTTTTACAAGTTGGTGCTAAGAGCAATTCCTGTGCCAGTAAGAATGGGATTTGTCCTAGACGTATTAGTATTTCCAAGTCACTGTTAGTATGATCTAACTGGGTAAAGAAATATATATTTTCCTTCTATTGCCATAAATTATGATACTTGTTACAAGGTTCTCACATGTTATTAATGGAATTAACATTTACTACTATTTCCTGTTTGAGTAAGTTCTGCTGTAAAATTAGTTCCTTTAAGATGATCTATGTTGTAATGCCTAAGTATTTGTTCACTCTTCATCTCATAGTGTTTTTTGAAATTTGGCTTCTTTTCAGGGGACAATTCAAAGTATCTGGAAATATTAATTTTTATATTCCAAATAAAGCCATCTTCTGAGAGTCTGTTATGAGTATATATACATCTATGCAGCAGTGTGTGGATTATCCTAGGGTAAAGGGTATACTATTTGCGGACTCTTACAGAAAAAGTAATGCAGCATTTCTCACTCCAGTTTCCTCCAAATAGGTAGATTTTATTTCGCAGAATTATCTAAATAGTACAACTGTGACTGAAACTTCTGAGAGTTGAATTGTCACATTTCTGTTTGGGAGGGGAGAAACTGGAGTATGGCAAAATGTCACATATCTATTTCAACTATATTATCAGGCAGACATAAGTGATGCCCATGTATCTGTACATAATTGATACTTTGAACCTAAACCCAAAATCCAGGCATTGATTATGATACATCTTCTTATCTCACTGAAAGTTTCATTTGATGTAGTCGATTAGCCTGAGATTTCTGAGGAGTTAAGTGCTATTCAAATAGGCTTCTCTACCAAAATTTGGCCAGTACTCTTGATAAAATCTGAAATGGGGTCTTAATTCTAAGTAATAAGGATTAGACTCCTATTCATTTGTATTTGGAGAAAGCCCCATTAAACTCAGTGGAATTGATTTCTGAGTAAACATGCATGTGACTGTTAAATATTGGGTTGTATCTAATAATCCTTTCACTACTGTACACTACTGACAGATCAAATTCAGAATTATTTTTGCATCTTCTGGGTGTCCTCCAGATCTGTTCCATAGGACAAGGAGAAGAATAGAAGTGATTGCTGTTTGAGGAGAAATACATTCACACATAACAGATGTAATCCATCATAATTTTCATATTTCTCAGACTTGCCAAAACAAGAATTTCTTGAATCTATTTCTATGACTATGTAGGAGACTCTGAATTTCCTTAGACTGGTTCTGTTTGTGCTGTACGTTTTCTATAATGCATCTTTGTACATTGGGAAATATTAACCAATATGCAAGGTATCGTATACCTACCTTACTTTTTTAAATTTTGTATTTATTGTGTTAAGATGTTCTGTGATGCACGTGATTCCAGGTTTAAACACTGTTGACAACTAAAATATTATGAGTAATTGTTACAATCCTTTCTCCTCAGCACTACACTATAATCCAAACATAAACTGACTATTCTATAATAATGTTTTGCTCCACCCCTTCTGGGCAGCAAAATAGGTTAAAAATTACACTGGATTTTCCCAACATACTTATAAATGTGAATCTGCAAAATGTATGTCTGTTGTTGTTAAAGAATAAACATTTGAGTCATTACACCTGGTATTTTGAAAACGTGTTCATTTATTTGTAGCTATAGATCCATTTTCCCCAAACGGATACCCTTTTAGATAATGTTGAACTACAACTCTTAGTATTCCCAATCTGCCTTGGCCATAATAGTTTGAAAATCTGTACGTTATCATCCTACGCTTCTGAAGGGCACAAAATCAGATAAAGTTAAGCTCACTACGCTATGACTAGACCAGTATTCGTATTATTTTGGATTAGTATAATCTTACCTGTAAGGTTGGATCCAAGTGTATCAGGTCAGTCATCTGAACATTTTACCATGATTATTAAAAGTATTTTCAGGTTCTTTTTAGTGCTGTATTCATTTGTTTCGACTCATAATAGGAGCTCATTTGCTGCCATATGCAAAGTAATCCTTATAGAATAGAAATATATAGAACTGTTATTTTTTGCTTTCAATCATGTTTATACTAATTTTTACTTAAATATATATCACTGAAACTGATCCAGTAGCTTATCTGTAATCAACCAACAAGAATGTGATCCAAGTATAAATGACAAAATCTCTGGCAGTCCATGGAGTCCTCGATTTACAACAGTTCATTTAGTGACCATTTGAAGTTACAGTAGCACTGAAAAAAGTGACTTATGACCATGGTCATGTGATCAAAATCCAGACACTGGGCAACTGACTCATATGTATGATGGTTGCTGCATCCTGAGGTATGTGATTACTGTTTGCCACCTTCTGACAAGCAAAGTCGGGGAAGCCAAATTCACTTAACAACTATGTTACTAACTTAACAACTGTGGTGATTCACTTAACAATTGTGGCAAGAAAGGTCATAAAATGGGGCAAAACTCACTTAACTGTCTCTTAGCAACAGAAATGTTGGGCTCAATTGTGGTTCTAAGTCGAGGATACTTGTACAGGTTTGGATACGTCAATTTCATCCCTATTAGAAAGATAAAGCAAAAGAAAATGCAGTCATAAAATCAAATCTCGCCACTAGTTGGGATTCTTGTTTTCCAGAGACAGATCCATACAAAATACCTTGTAATAATCTATCCTGGAAATCACTAAGGCTGGTGTGAGAATGTGAAAGGAAGAAAACAGAACAAGTTATCATTCACAGATAATGTCCCTCTCCACTTCCTTGATATTTAGCTCCATTACAGATAATATCAGGATTCCATGTTTCAATACAATTGTTACAAAAAGAGAGTACACCACGAGCTTTTATTCAAAGGAGTGCGCATATCTGATGTGAAGGAAATTTTAATAGCCAAAAATTAGAGATTGTATAATTGTCAGAACCCAAGGGGACCCATTTCTTGCTTTAAACTCAAACTCTGTTCTCTCTATACTTCTGGGTTCTGCCATGCTTCTGGAGGAAAGGGGGGGAAGCACTGCAGGCTATTGCTTTATTTTCCTGTCGCTACATTGTAACATTTTGCTATTTCTGCATACTTCCTCTGTGAACTATCTCTCCCCTTGAAGTCAGCTAGAGAAGGGAGGAGGAGAAAGGAATGTGCCTCGGGCAAATGGTTTATCTTTATGCTCGGAAGTGAAGGTGTGAAGAGCCGACATAACATCACTGCAACCCTGAGAAAGCATGGCGTTATCTACTCTTTCCCAAAATGGACTTAACACCTGGAGATTGGCCCATTTGAACTGACCAGATGAACTATGCAGTGGGATTTTGCTTGGGACACTTTTAACCTATTGATCTGAGCGGGAAACTCTCAGATCCAGTCTATTATGCCTGCTGTCAGCTTCTCCTAATAAAAGTTCCTTTTGGAAGAAACTGCTTCCATGAGTTCTGCTTTCTTAGGATGAGGTTTTGAAGTGGACCCTGACAATAATCTTTCATATTTTGTTCATATTTTCATAATTCAGAGTTCCCCATTTTGATGTAGTCATTTTGTTACCAATCAAAATCGAATCCACTAAACTACTTTGTTACAAGTATAAATGAATTAATGTGTTACTTGATAAAGCTTTTTTTCCTTAATTGCTGAAATTATATTTTCCCAATGCAAAAACCAATTTCATGCAGACTAGAAATTCCATTGATGAAGAAAATTTCAAAAGTCTACTATAATTTTGATGAAAAGTAGTCAATTAAATCTACAATGCAAAACTATTTACATTTTATATTTGCATTACCTAGATAGATCCTTTAACAAAGGATTTCACTTAGTATGGCTTCTATTGTATTGACATTTTATTTAGTGTCGCTAATATTGTTACATGGCATGCCTGATTATTGAATTGAAGCATTAATTATATAAATATTCTCATACTGCAATTTTTGTTCTATGCCACCCAAGGGACAAATCTGTTTGAGACAGATTGAAATTACGATTAAAGCTTATAGTGCCATCCTTTAAAAAAAAGAAAAATCTCACTAGCCCTGAATTATATGTATATTTGGCATTTTTGACATCCTGTCATAAATATGACATCCTTCAATACAGGTAGTATCAACTTAGAACCATTTATTTAATTACTGTTTGAAGTTACAATGGTGCTGAAAAAATGTCTTACAACAGGTCCTTGTACTTACAATTGTCAAAGTGTCCCGTGGTCACACTATTACAATCTAGATCAGGGGTGTCAAACTGCCGGCTGCGGACCGGTTTCATCATACTGAAACTGCGCCCACCCCATTGCCAACAATGCAAAAATTTGCAATACATTGCAACACGTCACTTGATGTGGCGAGTTTGACACCCATGATATAAATGGTTGGCAACCAGTTTGCATTTATGATGCTTGCAGCATTCTGGGGCCACATGATCACCATTTGCAACCTTTCCAGCTGGCTGTAACCAAGCAAAGTCAATGGGGAAGCCAACAGGGAAGGTCTCAAGTCGTTGTGTGCTGTCTTACTCAATGACAGCAGTGATTTGCTTAATAACCCCAGCAAAAAATTAAAATCAGGTGTGGTTACATGATGTCTCAGTTAATAACTGCACTGCTTAATAAATTTTCTGGTCCCAATTGTGGTTGTAAGTTGAGGATTACTTATAACAATCAAAGGATTTTTCTTCATTCCCCTTTAAAATTTGCTAATTATTTTATGATATGCTGTGAAATGACAGATATTAAACAACAATATACATGCAGCACAGTATGCCATGGTTTTGCTTAACTGTGGCTTATTAGAAAACATAATGGTCAAGTACATATGACAAGTGTATAGGATAGACAGTTTGATGTAGTGGTTAAGCTGCCAGAATAGAAATTGGAGACTGAGTTCTAATCCTGCCTTAGGCACAAAACCAGTTGAGTGATGTTGGGTCACTCTCAGCTCTAGGAAGGAGGCAATGGAAAGCCACTTCTGAAAAGCCTTGCCAAGAAAATTGCATGGGTTACAATAGTCTGTTTCCATTATTAGGCTGTATAATGGAAGTAATGTAATTGTAGTATAAATTAGCTATTCAATACTATGTCTTAGTTATGATTTCAAATTCTATTATCTGCAAAACAATAGTGTTACAAATTTGCATGACATAGCAACTGGTAAGACTCCAAATTTAATTGACAAGATCATATGCTAGTAGGTGTGGGTGGAAAGAGTTATAATGGTGATATCTAACCTTAATCACATAATGTAGCACAAACATTTATTGTGTTAAGCATATCAAATTAACTCAAGAGATGCATTGTATAAAACTTTTCAATAAAAAAAAGAGATGCATAACTTGAAGTCCCAAGGCCACGTGACATCCCTGAAAGATTTAAATGTGTCCTCGCATTTAGAAGGGAAGCAATTCCAAAAGTTGCAGATCAGAACATCGGCATCATCATATCCTTTAATACAGTAATTATAAAATACCCTAATCTATACAGACTATCTATACCAGGGCTTTTCAACCAGTGGTACGGGTAACACCTCTGGTACATTGGCACCTGGTAGGTGGTACGCGACCATCCTAAAAAAGTGGTAGCTGGGGAGGGGAATGAGCTGAACCGGTGGCAGCACCGCACAAGCCTGAGTGAGAAATGGCTGGAGCTGCAGGGCTCAGCGGAAGCGCCAGGATCAGTGCCGCTTTCCAGCTGATTGGCGCTTCTTCGGGACTGTCAGGGCTCAGTGGAAGTGCCAGGATCAGTGCCAGGCTCCAGCTGGAGCTCGGCGCTGCTGAGCCCTGAAGAAGCACCAATCAGCTGAAAAACAGCACTGATCCTGGTGCTTCTGCTGAGCCCAGAAGAAGCACCGATCAGCTGGAATGTTGCAGCATCTCCAGGGTCTTGTGATTTACATTCAGATGCTTGGCAACTGATTCATATTTATGACGGTCACAGTGTCCCAGGGTCATGTGAAGTGACCAAAACCTGCTGCAACCACCAGCAGACGGGGATAATAAAAACCAAACACCTCCCAACCCACCCCCCCATTGCCAATCCTCAACATAAATGTTCACAACAATGGCAACCTTGGACAGGAGGAAGTTTTTGACACCTTGCTAGGCAACTGGTGGTACTCGGATATTGCCATATCCTAAAAGTGGTACAATGGGTGAAAAGGTTGAAAAGCCCTGATTTATACAGACTCTTGGCAGAGTACAACAGCTTAGAATAAAATACAATTAAAATTATAACAACTCACTATGATGGCCACTCAAAGAGAATAATGAGCCAACAGCTAACTGGGACAGTACTTTACTGTAAATTTCTTCTTTTAAGGCAAGGACTATTGGGCCACCCATACTGGGGTAGTACGTATTTCATAATGGAAATAATTCCTGAGAATATCTGTTGCTTTGGTCTATGCCTCACAAACCTTCCAAGGAGTCAGACTTTCCACAGATTAATGGTCAGTCTTGTATTCTGAATGGTTTTAAAAGTAATGACTACAACTTTGAATTGGTCCTGGAAGCTTGCTGGAATCAATTCAGCAACTCCAAAACTGGGTAGGGTTTAGCTCTATCAGCAATTATGACACTGCTTTCCGTACCAATTGGAATTTCCAGGTCATCTTCAAAGGCACCCCCCCACACACACAGATCATCTAATCGCTTTATGATGATGATTTATGAATGCCAGTACATTCTGATCAAGGTAGAGTGGTAACTAATCAAAGCTGGACAGACAGCCCCCTGGCTATGCCTTCCTTCTGTTTTAATAGAAGCTGACAATCCAGGAGGACCCCAAGTCACAAACCAACTTTTTCAGGGGTGTATGACAGGACTACAGTAAATACAATACAGGACTTCTCAGATGTTTACTGACAAGCAGTTCCAGCTTGGAAGGGTTTATTCTGAGCTTTTGCCCCACCAGGCTCCTTAGAGCCTCCTGGAACTGATCCAGGACTTAAAAGACAAGATCTTCGGCTTCAGATTTTGATACCAGCTTTGATTAATGTATGATTTGGGATTTTTCTGGTTAGTAGGCTAGGTATGTAAAATTGTATTCTTTAAAAAGTCTGTGTAAGGCAAATTTCAAAGAAGTATGTATCTCAAAATTGTCGTTTAATACCCTGTTTTTAAATCCTTGCAGATTTCTGAGCAAGAATAAATGTAATAAGTGGGCGACCTTATGGGAATACCTAGTTACATTAACTATTAATTATAGTGGGAGGGGCAGCTGCGTCGAGCTTCCCACGTGACGAATAGCAGCAATGTCTTCAGTAAGTATGTTGATTAGTTCGTGATTGTGTTATATCGAGCATAATCAAGAGTATCGAAAGAATTTTCCAGTATTTCGGATTTCTTCTAGTTTGTGAGCTTTCGATTTTAATGAAATATACGGGAGTATATGTAAGGCTTAATCCACCCACTGATCTCTTGACGATCTTTTGCTATGGGGATAAACGTGGTTCTATGAAGCTGCCATGCGTGGGGTTAATTTGCAGCCCAGGATTTCCTCCAGTGATAAGACTATAACGTCTCAGGTCGAAGTCATTCTGAACCTGGTTACCGAAGATTTTTGCAGCAGCTAAAGATACGAAGAGCTAAATCTGCACTCCGAACACGTGATTTCATATTACACAGCAATATCCTTTTTTCTTTGCAAGCTTAAAGCGCGTAATTTTGGGAAGAAAACGGTCTCTGCTCCGTCCGATAACGTAGTACTTTGTATACTACTCAACAGCAGCGTGATGCTGTTGGGGATACTTGTCGATAAAGACTAGACAGCCGGGGGTTTCAGTTTCTAAAACATCTACAACACACTCGGGATCCGGTGACAGCGACCGCGCGGGATCGGCAATCTCATTTGTCCAACGCAAAGGTTCCGACCGGGAGAGATTATGAGCAAAGCTGCCTCACAAACAGCGCTTCTCCAAGCTCCCGCTCGAGAGCAAAAGCCACGCCCCCACCCGCTCCTCCCACTGAAGGCCCTCCCTCCTTCCCCTCACGGCGATCGGACTAGCGGCACTGCAGCCGTGGCGGCCATTTTGTGGCACTGCTGCGTCGTCGTCGTCGGTTGTTTGGGTTCGATAACAGGACCTAGCGGGAAGACTCAATTCCACGCTCTCACCTTTTTCCGTGCGAAGAACCCGGTAAGAACACGACACTTCTTGGGTAACTCCCAGGAGAAAGCAGCCGGGGAAAAGCCGGCGGGAAACACCAAGGGCTCCCGCCACGGCCTCACAAAGGCGGAGAGGGGCGGGAACCGGCGGGGTCTGAGGGAGATTCCCGGGGTTTGGGATTTTAGCTCAGCGCGGAGCCCAGCGCGGAGCCCAGCGACGCACCATGGAGGCGAATGGCTCCTGAGCTCCCGGGTTCTCTGAAGGCTTTCTTAGGGGGCTGGCCGTGGGCCTGGCGTGCCGGCCCCTCCGGCTCGTAGCGCCCGCGTGGGCTTGACGAGCGGGAGGCCTCGCGAGTTCTTGACTCCACTGCTGGGAGGAGGTAGGTGTTGCTTTCCGCTTTTCCTCTCTTGAGTCGAAGGCCGGTAATGCTGCCCGCCCCCCTGTCCGCGGCAGAATGCCAGGGCATGAGCGCGCTTCTTCCTGGCTAAAGAAGTGCTGTTTTTCTGGGATGCCAGTACTTGTGACCTTGATCGCCGGAGGTGCCGCTTTCGTCTTTTACATCTGAATGTCTGGTTTCAATTGGGCCGCAAAGCCGCTTCGATTTCTAAACGGCATGAAGTTGTACTTACGCATGACAAGCCTTGGCGCGCGTGGTTGCTTTTTCATTCAGTCTCCTGATTTCAGGGACCGCCTCCAGATAACGTTTTTCAAAAATAGCCTTTTAGTGGTGGCAATAATTGTCATCGCTGTGCTGTGATATGTTTTCAAAATCGCTTTTCTGAAATTGTTAGAATAATGAATAATGCTGACGAATCGCTGGGACTTGGGAGCGCGTATTATTAACTTGACAGACATAAGGGATGTTGCAGTTATATAGCATTACTTTTTTGCTAATTGCTTACCCTCAGGGTTCTTGTTGTTTGAAAAGGTCAGTCCTCTTAATGGTTGTATACTATAGACCATAGATATTGCAAGCTTTTTTTCAATTTACCGAATGTCTGCATGCTATTCTATGGGTTTTTTTAAAAAAAACCTTTATGGGAGAACAACCTGGAATAAATTATTTTTCTGCTTTTACCTAGAGTTCTTATTTGTTTTTTATTGAATTGGGCTTAATTGGTCTGCCAAAGAAATCAACTAAACATATTAATCATCATCATCATCCACATCTGCCTATCCCAGGTCCTGGATAAGGACTCAACAGATAGACAAAATACCAAATCCAGTCTGAACAGCTGGCTGACTGTGCGATGATCCATAATAATAATAATAATAATAATAATAATAATAGTTGGAAAGGATCTTGGAGGTCATCTAGTCCAACCCCCTGCTCAGGCAGGAATCCCTATACCATTTCGGACAAATGGTTGTCCAGTCTCTTCTTAAAAACTTCCAGTGTTGGAGCATTCACCCTTCTGGAGGCAGGGTTAATTGTTCTAACTGTCAGGAAGTTTCTCCTTAGTTCTAGGTTACTTCTCTCCTTGTTGCTTCTTGTCCTGCCTTCAGGCACTTTGGAAAATGGGATCAGAATAATGCATTTGTCAAGTTTTTGTTGGATGTTGGTAGAACAAAATAGTTGAACTATGTTTACTTTTCTGTCTTTATTAAGAGTGATTCTTTATAACTAGATCTTTTCATATTTCAACATAGAGTAATGGCATGGCAACAGTGGAGTCTGAAATACTTTAAATCAAATTTGGGGGTAATGGATATTAATACAGTATTTTTGGAAATTTTGCCTTTGTTTTTCTGAAAATTTTATTTAAATAATAAATTCTTATAATGATGTTTCTTCATCACTTTGTCTAATTCAGCATAATGAATGAAATTAATGAAACTTTTGAAAATGTTCTGCTAATTCAGTGGTGGCAAACCTATGGCACGCATGCCAGAGGCGGCACTCAGAGCCCTCTCTGTGGGCACGCGCACCATGTCCTGGAGATGGCAACTGTCCTCTTCAACCAGCCGCCTGCTAACTTTGCCGAGCTCCCACGTGGCCAGATGCATCCCAGCATGGCTGGTTTCCCTCCCCCCTCCCATCCCTCCTGGCCTCACATGCTCTCCTTTTCCTGGGCACAACCCACTGCATCACCTCCTCAGCTGTGGCCGGCTGTCCAACTCAGAGACGGCTTCTCTGAACTTCTGGTGGCAAGCTGCAGAGTCCCATAGTGTGCTGGTTGACGGGCCGGCAGGCTGTGGCTATTGACCGACATTGTCGGCCCCCATGTGCTGTCGCTGTTGATGGACACCATCGGCCCCCCTCTGTGTATGGGGGCCGATGGTGTGAGGCAGCAGGCGCCCCGGCCCCTGCCTCGCCTTGCCCTGCAACAATGGTACCCCCGCCTTGCCTCGCCTCATCCCTTAGGATGAGCCTCCTCCCACCACCCACCTGCCAGAGACCCCCTGGATCTCCCCCAAGCCTGCCCGGCCCCCACAGGCATCCTTCCCCACAAGCAACATCGAGGTGACCACACCCACCCAATCTGCCATGACCACAGCCACGCCCATCCAGTGGGCCACACCCACCTGGCACCCGGCGATAAATAAGTAGGTTTTGGGTTGCAGTTTGGGCACTAGGTCTCTAAAAGGTTCGCCATCACTGTGCTGGTTCATTCCAAAGTATAATATTTTCCCTGCAGCATATGCCACTTAGAAAAATCATTCTCCTCAAAGTGTGGCTTTATTGTAATCTGCTTGCCCAAGATGATGGTTGTGGCACAGTTTGCCATACTGTACAATTTTTTACTGCCTTCCTGATGTGCTGTGTATCAACCACTTATAAGTACAGGTGTCATGATTGTTTGTAGACTGACCTCTGATGGTCTAAGTTAGAACTGCACAGGCTACATATGGCTTTGAAAACTAGTCCTGCCTATTTCCCAGTTCTTAAGACAAGGCAAAATTATTGAACATCATTGACTTTTGTTGTTCTTTTGCTTGTTCTGTTTTTTTTAATAAATATTTTATTGATTTTCTATTATTACAAATCATAAATGCTTAGTAAACGAATGTGATGTCCAGGTACATTTGTTACTCAATGTTGCATCTTAACTTCAGTATAAATCTATTCAATGCTACACAATCCAGTGGGTTTTTTTTTTATTTATCCCCTTTTCTTCCCTTGATGTTTCCATTTTCTCAACATTAAACAAATACAATTCTTACTACTATGCTTGTTCTGTTTTTAATCTTGACTGCTGTTTATGTAGGTGTATTTTTATTGTTACAGTGTTTTTAACTGATAACTTTTCAGAGTTATAAATTTGAGATGGGCAGTCATATAAATAAAAAAAATATAAAAATGTAATTTAAATATAGTTTAGCTTTTGTCTTAGCTTCATCTACTTTTGGATTTAGTTTGGCATATACTTGTCTAAACTAAAGTCCTTAAGTATAGAATATAAGGGAAACTATTATTTTTTAAAAAATACACATTTCTGGTTTGACTGTTGAATGTGAGAAATCAACCAGAAACCCCACATTCAAAATAATGCCTTTCTGGGTATACATTTTCTATATTTTAAAAAATTAAACAATAGCAAGCAAATTAAACAATAGCAAGCAATTAAAAAACTTAGATTAAAAATGGAAATAAACATATATATGAATACATATGTTTAAAATCTTTGCATTTCATCTTACTTTCTCAATATTTTTATCAAGTACATTTATACAACCTGAAATAAACTATTGGAACAACATTGTTACTATAGATAAAAATAGTAATCAAATTTAAATAAACTGATCAGTAATTGAAGGATTTTTCAAAGCTTGCCTTTAATGTTTGAACTAAAAGCTATTTCCCAAATTTTTAAATACACTGGACCAAAGAAAGTACTTCAGCATTCACGTTTGTTGAGATAAGAATTTGAATATATTTCTTACTTGTAACACTTCAAGTGCCTTAAGAAATATTGTCAGTGGTAGGAGTCCTATGAACATTTTTTGGGTGATTTCACCAATATCTTCAACACCTTTGATCAAAAGGAATGGATAATGAGCATTTCTATCAGAACTGATTCTAAGTATCTTATAATCCCACCAACCCAATCTTGTGAGTTAAAATTTATATCATGTAATTTTAATGGTATGAAATGCAGTTTTGGATGATTTTCAAGAACAATATTTGATGATTTTATACATTTAAAACAACTTTTATGTCACAAATTTTTCCTAAAATCCTTTAAATTCCAATCCCAAACAAATCCTCCCAGGATTGATTCTTTTATATTATGCACAATGGGATTCTTTAAAGAGTTTTGTCTCTTATTTAATGGCCATGCGGGGAAATTCACTGGAGAAAGCAATTTATGTTGGGAAGAGTTAGCGCTAAAAGGAAACCAGTCTGCCAAAGAATACGATGCATCAAAGCTGATGTTAGCCATAATATAGAAAATCTCAAAGAAACAATGTAAGATCAGAAAATGTAGAGAGATTTGACCTATGAAATCGCCAAGACTCTGACACAACTGAACAGATATTTTCATCATCGTTAAAGAATTTTATGTAATATTGAATAGATTTGTTGATTTTTTGTAAGGAAAATTTATACCATTCCTTAAGTATCTGTCAAGCTAATTTAAAGATTTAGGAACAGTTCCTACAAAGGATTGGTATGAGCTGCTAAATAAATGTATTGAGGATGATCTTCTGCACATGATTAAACCAATTACTGTTGCCACTAAAATACTTGCATTTAAAATAATTGTTCCAAAACCTCTGCTTCAAGTTTCATTGCCTGTTACTTGGTTTCATAATACAGGTAATCCTCACTTAACGTGGTCTTGAGACCTAAATTTCCTTTGTTAAACAACATTATCAAAATGGTGATGTCATGCAACGGTGCCATTTAGCTATGTCAGTTCCAACACCTTCGGTTGCCATTGTTAAGTGAATCCCTCTGCCCTGAAGATGGCAGTGAAGGTTGCAAATTATGATTACATGATGACAAAACGCTGCAACATCATAGTTGTGAGCCAATCATTGTGTGTCTGGATGCGATCCTGTGACTGCAGGAACACAACCAGTTATAAGTATCACTCATTCAACACTGTCGTAAGTAAGTTCAATCACTGAACAAATGATTATTAAGCAAAACTACTTATATGCAAATAATTTCCTTTAAATTTTCACATGACAATAAATAAAGAGGGCTTAGCAAACCACACGGTAAGCAAAAACATGATGGAGATTTATATGTATTTTATTTGAAACATTGATATCTTACAGTTATAAGGGAATTAAAATTATTATTTGAATTTTAAAAATTCAGAGAAATTTGGGGCATACTAATTCATATATTATTGGATTACCTGTCAGGGCAATTTAAGCGGTATCATTAAAAATGCATATCTGCTATCTCAAATCCATTTTTCAAAATTTTGGAAGTTTGAAAAAATGGAAACAATTTTCAGAAAAGTGTTGCCAGGATAAATGAGAAGTTAGGGAGGAAAAGAATGAAAATAGATTTTAACCTAAGAAAAAGTATCTCTTGGTTGTACAGGAGATTAACAAGGATATTTTGAAGAGAGAAAAAATAAGCTAAAGCTCATTTTAAAATAACGCATAAGTTGTTAGCTCACTTAATATTTAACAATTTGATGCAATTTGTTACCAGAAGTACCGTATTTTCCGGTGTATAAGACGACTTTCTAAACCCTGAAAATCTTCTCAAAAGTAGGGGGTCGTCTTATACATCCAGCCGTCTTATACGCCGGAATATACGGGTAGCTGTTCTCTGAATTTAAAACCAATCTGCCCTAGTGGCCAGCCCTATTTTTTTTTACAGAAATAAGCACTAACACAGTGGTTCTCAACCTTTTTAATGCCGCGACCCCCCCCCAACCGGTTGTAAGTCGAGGACTACTCAACTGGTCGTAAGTCGAGGACTACTCAACTGGTGCAGCACCGTTTGCAGAATGGGACTTTTGGCGGGCTCAGCAGGGCAGAGACAGCCTGGAGAATTCCTATTGGCTTTTGAAAGCCAATAGAATTAGACTCTATTCAAGAGAGTCTATTTCTATTGGCTTTCAAGAGAACCACTGCACTACAGGACAAAGCATACAAAAATCCCATTTTTCCACATCACCCATCACTTTATTCTTTTTCAGGAAAAGCAATTAAATAGTAGAAAACAGTAAGCTATATAAATTAAGGACATTACATCTACAAAAAAAGAAACATTCGATTTACTTCTTATACCTATAGCAGCAGTAATG